CTCGCGATCGCGCGAGACCTGCAAGAGAATTCCACACGCGAAGCCCCCCTCACAGCAGACTACAACGCACTCTCTCACGTTACAAGGGATATTCTGCGAGACGCAAGAAAAGAAGGTGAAACATGTGGCGCGCTCTAACTGAAACGAGAGAGAAACGATTCCACTAGCATTAAAATCCCTGTGTGGTGGCGGCGTGCTGTCCTCCTCCCCCATCCCTCGTCTGGGTTTGTCTGTTTTCTTTCTTTTCTTTCTTTTATGGGAGGACACGTCCTCCCATCTCTTGGGATGTCTGTCCTCTTTCTTTCTTTCTGGTCGAGGAAGGCGCGCGCCTCCGCGTCTCGCCGCTGAAGGCCACGCAGTATACCTACACCAACGCAGATCGGACTCAGGGCCGGTGCTTTGACGCAGTATATTGTACTTCGAGGTAGTATGAACTCAGAACGGCCCCCCGAGAGCGCCTCTTCGACGCCCACGGGTCCCGGGGGGTCGGAGGGGTTGCGAGAGGGCCCCGGCTATTTTTTGTTTGAATCCCGGAGGCCGTTCGAACATGTAACGTGCGTTCCACGTGCCCGTCCCCAGCAAGGACAACATGCTAGCCCAGCAGGCCGCTCTCACCGCCGCCCGCGGCGTAGGCAAGGCGGCAAAGGGTGGCAAGGGCGGCGGCAAGGGCGGTGGCAAGGGTTGTGGCCGTGTGGCGCACCAGACCCACTTTGCGCCGCCGCCCTCAACGCCCGATACTCGGTTGAGCCGGCGGAGCGACGGCGGCAGAGTTGCGGCCGCCGGCGACCTCACACGGCGTCGAGCGCCGTAGAGACGGCCCCGAGAGCCGCCGCCAGGTGTGCCACGACCGCGGTCGCGAGGCTCGTGGCGATGGATGCGCCAGATCCGCTTGCGCCGCCGCCCTCAACGCCCGATACTCGGTCAGAGCCGGCGGAGCGACGGCGGCGGAGTTGCGGCCGCTGGCGACCTGACACGGCGTCGAGCGCCGTAGAGACGGCCCCGAGAGCCGCCGCCAGGTGTGCCACGACCGCGGTCGCGAGGCTCGTGGCGATGGATGCGCCAGATCCGCTTGCGCCGCCGCCCTCAACGCCCGATACTCGATCAGAGCCGGCGGAGCGACGGCGGCGGAGTTGCGGCCGCCGGCGACCTTCCCCTCGACCACGCCGCCGACCCGTCGACAAGCACGTGCGGACTGCCATCGAGAAGAAGGAGACGGAGGGCGGCGCATCCGGAGCCCGCGGGCGCAGCGGGCGCGGGTCCGGGCGCGGGCGGGCGCGCGCGGGAACCCCGCCAGCGGAGGCGACAATGCCTCTGGCGGCTCTGCAGGCGGCGCGCGGCGCGCCCCTCGCCGGTCTCCCGCACGCTCCTGAGGGCCGAGAGGGCCGAGAGGCGGGGTCGGTGACCCGGGGGCATGGGCGGTGCGGCCCGCGCCGCGCGCGGGCGCGTGACAGCCCGTGAGTGCCGAGATCGGGTCCGTACTTCGACGTAGTATGGGCCCCCGGGGGCCCATCTACAGTAGTGGCGAAGTGAGCGTGTTTGTGGTGTTGGTGTGGCGTCTGAGCTTGGATCTGTGACTAAAGCCGGTTACCACTGATGGATCCCCACCCGAATAACACACAGTGAGCGCCCCAGCGCTTCACTACGCCCTCCGCGCGAAATCTCGCTAGTGCTGTGAGAAAGTATATTGTACTTTTGAGTAGTACGGGTACGGTTCCCGAGACCGAGTGACCCGAAGGGTTTCTCGGGGTTAGTGCACCACTAACCGCCTCTGCAAGAGCACTAGAGCTCTAGAGTTGTGGAAGGACGATCAGGCGCACATTTTCGAACTGGCAAGGCCCCCGGTGTCTATCTGAAGGAGTTACTTCCTGAAGTAACTACTTACTTCGAGAAGTAACTATCCCCGCCCCGCGCCTGCAATGGCCCCTAGCCCCCGCCCACAGCTCCCTAGACACAGGGCAGACCTGGACTGGAGCGGACCCGCTCCCTAATACTCCTCTGAGGAGTGGTGGTCACCGTCGGAGTCGGTGTAGGAGCTCCACCGCGCCCGCCGCGGCTTCTTGGACTTGTGTACGCCGGGCGTATCATGCACTTGGTCGCGGAGGCGAAGAGCCCTCCTGCGCTCCATAGGCGGCCTCACCGGTCGAATGTTCGGCAAGCGCGGCCCAGCTGTGGAGGAGACACATGCTTCCCTGCGTGACCACATCTTAAACCGGGACAATGGCGCGCTTGAGGCTTCTCTCGCATCGCTCCGCTGGGCCAGCACTGCCGTCAATCACCGCTCGTCCGACACGACGCCGCTGCTGCTTCTCGCTGCGACGCAGGACGACGCGCCGTCTGTGTCGCTGCTGCTCAGGGCACGCGCCAGCATCAACATAGCTGACAGCTCGGGCGCCACTGCCGCCTTTGTCGCCGCTCGCAGCAACGCTGCCGCCGCGCTCGAGGTGCTGATTCGCAGCGGCTGCGACGTCAACCAACCGCGCGCGTCTGGGGCGACGCCGCTGTACGTCGCAGCACAAAACGACTCGCGAGCCGCGCTCGCGATGCTGATCGCGGGCGGCGCCGCTGTCGACGCGCAAAAAGAGGGAGGCTTCACGCCCCTCCTTATCGCGGCGATGCGCGGCCACGCACCGTGCGTGAGCGCGCTGCTGCAGGCCGGGCCCGCTCCCGTCCCTAGAGCCCGCGCCGCTGGGAGGCTGAGTCGTTCGCGTCTTGTCTGCCGCAGGCCGGCGCCGACCCAGACCGCGCGTACGATGTCGCGGACCGGTGGAGTGCGCTGATGGTTGCGGCACACCTGGACCAGCGCGACGTGCTCGAGGCGCTCTGCCGGGCGGGAGCTTCGGTGCTGCTCCGCGACGCTGGCGGGCGGACGGCGCGGGAGGTAGCCGAGGCGGCGGGGCACGAGTCGGCGGCCGCGCTGCTGCAGGGGCGGGAGGAGGAGGAGGCGCTCGAGGCGGAGGCTGCGTCGCAGGAGGGGCCGTCCAAGCAGCGGGAGGCTTCTCGACGGCATAGCATCTCGTCCGGCGATGGATGAATAGGAGGGGCTGCTGCAAGAGGTGCGCCAGCTCGGGCCCGTGCAGGCGTCGCTGCAGCTCGAGTCGGACGCCATCGCGGCGCTGCAGCCGCAGTGCGCGCGCCTGATTGGCGAGGAGGAGACGTTCGTCGGCGCGGCGCGGCTGCAGCAGCAGTGCCTGCTCGCCACCCAGACGCTGCTCCCCGCGCGACGGGCATCGCTGGAGCGGCGCAGGCTCGAGGCGGAGATCACGGCGCTCGAGGTGCGGGCTGGAGAGGCGGAGCAGGCGCGCCCTCTTCTCTCTCTCTCCCTCCTCCGGCGGCCGGCGAGGGCGGTGCGCGCTT